ATTTTTACCATTCTTGAAGTAACTTACTTCTTTTATCATTCTGACCTTATTTAGGTTACTCCAAAAAATTCCTATTATAGTCAATATAATTTGATTGTAGCCATAGGTGGGTCTGCTAATATTTTCTATTAGAATAAATAGTCAATTTTCTGTTAGACTCAATATTATTAAAACATTCAGAAATTAATTCATTCTTCACCTACTTGAGCTATCCCTCACCAACTAGACCACAGGCTGAAAAAATAAAAGAATCGTGTTATCTAGTCAATGAAATTTCCCTTAGAAGATTACAGCACATGTAGTGGGTGTATGTGCATACTGGATGATTATAACAAGGGAATTGGTGTGTGTGTGTGTGTGTCTGTGTGTGTGTGTGTCTGTGTCTGTATGTTTGTATAGAGAAATTTGAGTTTAGGCCAGAGGTGCAGGAGGTAAGAGGAATCACCAGAGACTGAGTGGGGAGCAGGATAGGCTGATTTATTGAAATACACTGCTGAGGGGAGCAGCGGGCAAGATAGGAAAGGTCTGCTGTGCTATGGGGGTCAGGCTTTGCGGGTGATAGCACTGAGACTTAACCCTTAGTCCTGACTTGTCATTCTTGACCCTGTCTTTTAGGCCCAGGGATGCAGATCAATTCTATCTATTGACTCAGATTGGGTCTTATGCTGGGTGTCCCCTCCCGGATTGGGTCTTACACTGACAGGGAAGACATACCACACAACCTGTGGAATCCAGTTTGCGGTCTGAGATGCAGCGGAAATTCTTACTGCAGCCTCCGTTATCTTTGCTGCAGTCACGAACTGGTCCGAAGGAATCCAAGAGAACCTCCAGGCTGTCGAAGGAGGACGAGGTCATCAGTTCCTCTCTGCAGGGAGAAAGCAAGAGGCAGGCAAGAGTCAAGGGATCTCCAGGTGCAACAGGTAGCACCACATCTTACATTCCCATCTGGCCAACCGGGTCGTGTCTCCCTCCCTCTTACAAAAATGAAAGATCAAACATATTTCAAGCTTTGAACTAACAAATTATGGACATTCCCCATATCTGGGAAATGAGCCAAGGCTGTAACGCCTGGTCAAAGAAGGAGGTCTAGAGCTTGGACAGGGAAATTAACATTTTATTGCCTGTCAGTCCTTAGAGGATGTGGGAAGTGCTTACAAACTCTAATTTTATGTCCTTTCCCAGTGCATGAGCCTTGGGGTGTGCAATATTGACCCAGATAAAGTGGAGCTCCTGGCACTGCATATAGGAAATTTACAGGCAACCTGCCAGCCTCTCTTTTCTGCTTGTCATGATTCCTTTCCCAGAACCTTAGGCCTGCAGGTAGTTTCTCCATCAGCTTCCCAAGCCAAGCGTGGGCTCAGCACCCTGAGGTCAGGCTCACCTGACCTCCACAGCATCCTCCATCACCGTCATGTCCGTCTTACACTTCGCTGATGGATTGATGGCCAGTTCAGCTGGTGGGATGACAAAACTCTTGCTGAGGGGCAACCACATGCCCTCCCCGAGGGTGTAGGTAAACCTGTAGTGAAGCCCAACATAGGTAGGTATGACTGGGGGGAATCTCCCCCAAAGCAGGACCGGCAGTGGCTTCCTTCTTGGCTCCCATAGTCCTTCTCAGAAAGGGGCTTACTGCCATTTCCTGGATGAGATCACTGACTGGAGGATGGAGAGAGGCCTTCTTCTGCTCACATGGCCAGACATTTGGAAAACTGATTATGGTTCCCACTCACCAGCTGCGAGAAGTGGTTTTTACCAAGTCAAAATAATGCAAGTTCCAGTTTCCTTCAGATTTGAAGCTGGGCTCCCCCTGTCTAAAGTCAGATATATTTGGAAGCATGGGAATTGAAGAGACATGCTGGCCTCCCACCATCCCCTCCCTCAATTGCACACCCACGGTGGAAGGGTGGTTTCTCTCTGTGCCCAGAGGAACCCTACCAAGGAAGAGGAAGGAACAAAGCTCCCCTTTTCTAGTTTCTTGTGATGGAAACAAAAATGACTAAAGCCAGGGTGTCCCCAGGGAGGAGAGAAGCAGGAGGAACAAGACAGGGCCAGATGTATTCTCAGCACTTCTACCTATATTGGTAGCTAACATGCTAACCCTTGGGAGACAGGAAGACTTTTTTTTAAATTCTTATAACAAGGGCTAAGAGGAATAAAAGAATCAATAAGCACTTTGAAGGACAGCTTAAGGAAACCATGAGAGATGATTTGTTTATTTATTCATTCATTTTATTTCAAAGTCTTTCAAATGCTCTGTGTTCACAGTCAAAAATAGTCTACGGGATAAAAGCCAGTGTGGGTGGGATATCACGAGGTTGTGGCAGTCTGGAGGCCTCTTCCAACTTAATGTGGAGGGAGGAACAATGGGCGGATGCATACAACTAACAGAACCCAGCTCTGGCTCCATTAGCATGCTGGTCACAGCACCATCTCAGAATGCTGCTCATTTCTTTACCCTAAACCACATGCTCCCATCTCTGCCTCCCAGGTTGGCTGAAGTGCTAGGAAACCAGATTGATGACATGAGATCTTTTCTGAGAAATGCAGCTCCCTCCAGTGTGCAGACCACAGAGGATACACACTGACCGAGGCCCCTTCCAAGCAGCTCAGCCAGGCAGGACTCCCTCACTCATGGATAGAGGCCCTTCGGGGCTAGAGCGATTCAAAGAGGAGAAAGTGGGTGCCAGTTTAACAGTATGGGCTAACCGGGGGAGAAGCCAAATCACAAAGCCAGTCGAAGTGGCTAGGAGTTAGGCGATTTCTCCCCCAGACCCATCATTAAGCTTGATCACCTACTTGTCTAACTTGTTTCCCTCTCTGTATTAAGCTGCATTGAAACACAGGTTTCCCCTCTATCCCAAAGCAGAGAATTCCTATGAAACGTTCCGTTAGCCCAAATGGAGTAAACGGAGAAAACAATTACCGTTAATTTATATGAAAATGTTTGGGACATTACCAGACTTAAAAAATAACCATCAAATTATACCGAGTAACATATAAAAGCTAAATTCACACAGACATACTGAAGGCAGGGATGATGGGAAAAAAAACACACACACTGTATAAAGTAGTTATCGGGGAAGGAACTTGGTGGGGTGTCCCTGCCTTGACAATGGCTGCTGCCAAACAAATACCCAGAGCTTGAAAGAAAAATGCAAAAATCATCTTCTGATTTTTCTTGGTTAGCAAAAACAGAGACTAATGTCAGTCTTTCAATAAAGCAAAATGCAGTGGCTTGTGTGGCCTTTTCAAAAGCAGGGAATATCTCTGAAGGAGGCACGCAACTCTTGCCACTCGAAGGGACATGAGACCAGAGGTGACACTAGCCTGTGCAGGGAGTCTGTACCAGGTGAGGGAAGAAGAGCAGAGGCATAAGAAGAGACACCCCTCTTCATTCTTTTGTGACTGGTTAGTACATCAAGGCTATGACAGCATCATGCCATCATGCACACACCCACACACACATCTGGCAAGGTGAACACACCAGTTCAGGGCACGTGATTGCCTAAAGGTGCCTGGAATCTGGAACCTGAGGATGAAATGTGTGTTAAAGGCAAAACATGCAGACCCACCCTCATGGCACAGTGGGTTAAGCACTGCACTAAGAAGCCAAAGTCACTTCCGCATGAGGTCGATCACCGCCCCGGAGGTGATCCACGTGGCTGGCAGACCTCTCCGGACCTGTTCACTGTTCCCCTCAGCAGTGTACTTCCTCAATCTGCCTGTTGTGCTCCCCACTCTGTCTCAGATGAATCCTCTCACCCGCCTCTACACCTCTGGCCCAGTTCTGTATGCATAAAATAAATAAATCTTAAAAAAATAAAAAAAGGCAACACATGCAAGTGTTAGGCTACTTTGCATTTGATAACAGTCATTCTTAAGACAGTGATATTATAATAAGCAGACTGGTATGGGAACCCCACTAATAATAATATATGTTGTTTCAGAGAGAACATACACAGTTTGAACAGTACCAGGGGAGAGGCAGTTTATTTGGACATTGAGATGTTTATTTACTATTTTGCTTTCAAATTACTGTTTTTACATTGATGCAGAGCAATAAACCCATGACCTGTAGTTTATAATTTGTGTAATAGACTTTAGGAAGCTGTTGGCAGTCCTAACATATCTGACAGTTATTTTTTCTTTCAGAAGAGAGAAATCCATGCCATTCCCTTCCTCCTCTACAAGCAGTAATATTTTAAAGGTAAAAGTAAGCTAATCTCTTCCCAAAAGAAAGTGTTTAAAGGCACCCCAGGGCCTATAGAACAAAGTTCATATCTCCCTACCCACAGTGGCTTCTTCATCCACCAAATCCCGAGTCACACTTTGTGCGCCTACAATATAATCTGCAGTTCGTAAGTGCTAATTTTCTCACCTCTTTGCCTTGGCTCTTAATATTCCTTCTTTCGAATTTTCTTACCTCTCTTCTTTGTTAGTTTCTCACTCATCGTTAGACTCAGCTAAGGCCTCATCCCTTCCAGAAAGCTCTCTGGGGCCTCACATTCAACTCCCTGTCTGAGTAAAGGACTCTGCTCTGCATACATGCTCAGGGTCCTCCTCCCCTTGAGAGGCTGAATGTGCCCATCTGTCTATCACTCTGCGCACAGAAGAACTCACTTTCTTGAATTGTCCTTGTACCCCAGTGCCCAACACAATTTCTTCCCCAAGAGGCTGACTATAATTATTTATTGACTAATCCATAAATAATTATAGCTTCAAAGGTTACTAGAGGATAAAAACTCAATCTTCAAATAGAAAGATAGAAGTGGTGGTGAAAATTATCCTTCATTTAAAGTAGAATGTGGGCTAACCTCTGAATGTAATGGACTTAATGGCCAAGGTGGATGTGGGTTTGATATTGTGAAGAACTTTCTAGGATCACTGCAGCTTCTGAGCCACTCACTACCAAGTTAACAAGAAAAATAGTCTTTAGTCTTTGCTGAGTGTCAAGGTGAAACAGTGCAGGGGAAGCAAAGTCAGGTGTGAGGTGAGATGAAACCTTTATAGAGAACTCCCCAAGGGACAGATGCTCTTAGAACTACCTCATTTATCCTTGCAACCAACCTCTGACAAATGTTGCCAATTTGTCAACTAATATTTTAAGAAGTGTAGCAACTTTCCTGAGGTCACCTCTGCACATGTGGGGGGTGTGGAGATGGGTCTGCTTCTCCAGGGTGGCTCACAGCAGCTTTCCAGCCCAGTGCTGGCTCATGCCTATGAAATCCTAGTTTTCTTTTATCTGCAAAATCTACTGAGTAACTCCAAAAACCAAATATAGAACAAACTGTCAGAAAAAAGCTGTGTCCTGAAATCTCATCTGTCCCTCATTCATGCAGATTTGGCAGGAATGACTTCAAAAGCTACCACGGAGAAGTTGGGTGAGCATCTGGAATGCTTTTCCAAGTTCCACTTGCTCTTGGGCAGTTGGTGGTGATTGCCACAGTTCAGGGCTCAGCTGCAGGCAAGGCCCTGCACCCAGCTCTGCTGATCTAATGCTTGCTTGAAATGACTGTTCGGAGCAAATACTTTCCAGAAAGCACTGGACAGAGTAAGGCTGTGTGCTCATGGTAATTTGGCATGAATTAGAATGCAGTAAATAGCTCTTGGCCTTCCATCTCGACTCTTTCCCAAAGCAGGCCATTCTCAGATGAAATATTGTGCCCAGGGATGCAGATACACAATTGGGAAGGAAGCTTCTGAGGGTCAAATTTGGTCTACACTACTCTGGCCACCAGAGAGTCTTGTGGATGGATGGTCCTGACCACCATGGAAAGAACAGTGTCAACACCAGCTGGGCACAGTGAGAAGACTTGGTCTAGATGTCAGAGTCCTCTTGACCCCTTCGAGTCTAAGTTGCACCAGTCCCAGGTGGTTTGGCATTGCAGATGGTCACAGTTATGTTGAATATCAGTGTTTTTTTTTTTTTTCTATTCTATTTTTAAGTCCTTAGAAAATGACCATCTACAGATATTTATTGAAGACCTAGTATTTTCAACATTGAATGACAGATATTAAATATTTGAAGGCATTTAGGATAATATCCCTCCCTTCAAGAAGATACCCATTTACTCATTGGGGGAAATAAACAGATAAATGAAGTGAAATGTGAAAAAAATAATTCTCAAATAAACATTTAATATATTATAGAAATTGGGAGAGAGAAAAGTCATTGTGGATTGTGCAGGAAAGAGGAACTTTAGGACAGTGTTTCTCAATCTTGTGTACAGAAAAGAATGTTTTTAAAAAACATTCATCCTCTGGTAATAGCTCCCAATTTTTGAATTAATTGACATAGTTGACTTACTTGAACTAATTAATTTGTTTTAACTGACTTTTGCTGGGTAAGATTGTTGGTCGTTTTAAAGTTATGAGGGTTGGTTCTCATGATTGACCAGGATTAAAGATTTATTCTTAGATGAGATCATAAATTCCCTGAAGGGACCTATCTTGGTCATATTTATTTGGTCAGACCTACAACATCTAAAACAGGGATTTGCAGAATTAGGTGCTCAGTAGATGTTGGGCTTAGCTGAGACTTCATCTAGACCATTAAAATGACAGTTTCTCTTTTAGGGCAATATGCATTATTGTTAGAATAAAGATACGAAGAAATGTACAGAGTTGGGGGAGAGAGTGGATTAGTTAGAAAAGATCTAAGAAAGGAAGAAGCTATAGGAGAAGAACAGTTTATGGAGAGAAAAATTGTACACTGGCATTTAACTGTGAAAGACTGGAATGTCAGAATTTAAATTTTACTTCATGGTCCAGGGAAGTGGGCAGTGGCTTGGATTTCATCAGGACACTAAACCACAAGTATGAGGAAGTAGAAAGCAAACAGTAGCAACTTCTTTAAGAAATTAAAATCACTGATCAGGTCATGGAATATTCCAGAATGATTGCTGGGTAGTTAGTTTACTCAAATCCCAAGTTGTTTGGATTGAAGTTCTTAGTACCTAAAATAAGCAGATCACTACCTGTTGTTTTCATTTGCAAAATAGTTAGGGAACAAAATTACTCATCACTTTTTGAATAACCCATTAGCTCCTGACAGTGTTGAGTACAGGGTCAAACCACACAACTGGTTCCCTCTGGTGTGCTTTGGTATTATCCTTAGCTAACAGCTAACAAACTAGAAAAATTAAATGGTGCTTCTGGTATAAAACACAGTTCTTGTGCAGGTTTGCTTTCCTGGCAATTTCATTAAAGTCCTTGTTTTTCAAAGCTTTGGTTTCTGATGACTAGGGGTAAGGGAACTTACTCTTGTGAACCAGTCAGACTCCACCAGGAACTACATCTGCCTTATCTTTATCACCCTTTGAAGATCCTGGCAGACCAGCATTAGGAAGAAGGGAGAAAACCACCAAATTAGAAGCCATTGTTGGGAAGTTTAAAGGCCTAAGTCAGAGTATAAGGAATATAGTTCACAAGCCATGTAGCTGGAATCCTCAAAGCAGCCTACAGCCAATACTATTAAATGACCCAGTAGCTAGCCCTGCAGGAGACACTCAGGAGAGGAGAGGGCCCGGAAGGCCCTGTGAGGAAGCAGTGCCAGGCCTCCCTGTTGCAGGGGTGGAAGTCTCAACACTAACAAGCTGCCTCCAGCCACTGCACATGAGTTTGATCCTCAGTCATATGGCACAGCCTCTCCTGTCTTACCCTCTGCTCCCCTCAGCAGGATATTTCAGAGGATCTATCCCACTCTCCACTCTGTCTCTGGTGAATCCTTTCGCCCCACCCACCCCTCCTCTGCAACTCTGGTCTATACCCCAGTTCTTGTTAAGCATAAATAAATAAAAGGAAACCTTTTTAAAAAACAAAAGAATTAGAAGTGGGCCTTAGGAGAACACTGCTGTGGCCAAAACCAGTCCATCAGGCCAGCAGGGTGAAGCTGGAGCAAAGGAGCCAGGTCAAGCAAGCAAATGCAGAAGTGAAATTAACACCAAGGTGAGAAGGGTAGGGGGGCTGAGGATGGCTCTGGGAAGGCAGCAGTGAGGATGTAAAGCTTAGTGCCCTGTATGGGAACAGTGAAACAAAGAGAGTTTCCATTGGCCCACACTGCCCACCACTCCCCAGTAATGGGGTGTGGTGGCTGAGTTCATCCTTTGACATCAGACACACACCATTTGCTTCCCCTACCGGAGAGCTGATGCATGAGCAGAGATGCAATCAAGTCCATATGGCTCCAGCACATACAACAAAGACATGTTAAGCAAAGGAAGGATTAACAGAATAAACCAAGACCTCAGTCTGAAAATAGACTTCTGTTCTAGCCAAGGCCTGTACTGAAATTAAGAAAATCCAATAGTTCGTGGCTGGCACAAAATTCTTCCTTTCCTATTGACTGTTGTAATACGTGCTATGCCCAGGTATGTAGGTAGAAATTTGGGAGAGAAACATCCAATTTGATCAGGAGAATGGTAGATAAAATAAAATAATAATGAAGTAGAACTGAGAAAACGGGGAGGCAGGGGTGGGAGAGATTAATTTTGAACAATCTTACTTCACGAGGAAGGTGCAAATTAGATGCAAAACGGAGAAGCAAAAACTGACATTAATTGTCTGTTCTGTGCCGGTTTCTGTGCCAGGGGCTTTCCTAGCATTTCCTCAACAGTACAGGCAGGCCTGTAATATAACCCCATTTAGCTGAAACTGGAGGCTCCACGAGGTTAAGTGAATTACCGGGGTTGACAAAGCCAGCAAGAAGGAAGCCAGGACCCAAACAGAATCTGTCTGACCTTAGAGTCTTCCATGCTGTCACTCGGCATAATGGAGAAGCAAGTGCTTTTGTTCCTAAGAGGGCAGAACAACGCAAAGTATTTCCCATTTTATTAGGGGAGGAAATTCAGAGGGAAGTGGGACATGGGCTTGCACACGTCCACAAGCAGGTCCCTGCACGCCTACTTACCTGAATATTTTATCAGAAGGCTGCTCTCCCAAAACCAGGTCGAAGCCTCGCTGAAATATCGTGTAAGGCCAAGGCCTGAAAGGAAAAAACATCACTCAATGAAAGTCGGCTCCAGAAACAGTCCCTGAGCATACCAAGCCCTGTGCTAGGTTCTGGACATCCATTGAGGAAGAGGACAACCGCTGTCCGTGGGGCCTCTACTGTGACGCCTGTGACGCCTGTGATACCGTCTGCACTGGAAGCCAGCTAAGAGGAGGAGAATGCACAAATCACTGAATCTCTAGGAAAGTGGGATTTAATCGACATGACAATTGGAACACCATATAGAGTAAAATTACACTACAGTGTGCCTCACATACCCTTAAGTCTTGGTCCTTGGGATGTAGATTTAACTTTTTTTTTTTTAAGCAAGTAAGGCAGCATCATTTCTTGGGAAAGATGAAGATTCTGGGTTCAAGCCTAGGTCTGCTGTTGCAGCAGCCATCTGATTTCTGGCAGATGATTTGCCTTGTTGAGCCTAATTTCCCCATTTGCAAAAAAAAAAAAAACAAACAAACCAAAAACCAGGATTATTAACAGCTGCCTCAAGAAGCACTGTGAAGATCAAGCAAAGCTCTTAGGTCACGGCCACAGCTCAGACACGGTCCTCAGCACGCTCTCATTTCCTACTCAAAATGACATGAATATTCTGGGGTTTTGACAGGTTCCAGATGTTTTGGAACATTTTAATGTCACTCATTCAAACAGACACAAGGGAAAGGAACTTTTCAAATAATCATTAACTACATGTCACCCCCGGGGCGGGGGGGTTTGGTTTGTAGGATTGTCACATGGATTTAAAAGTAACAAAATGGTTTCTTTGAAATAGTATATCTTTTTTATTTACTAAGATAGCCAGCCCACATATTATTTATTCATTCAAGCAAGACCTGGGATGCCTGTTCTTTGCTAAGACACCGATGAATGGAGAGTTTAGTCTCCTGGAACTGAGAGTCTCATAACCACTCCAATTATTGAGAATGTTACCGTACAAGAAGTTGAGAGAATAAATCACCATCATTATTATTTGGGGTTAAATTTAATATGAAGAATTAACCCAGTGGTTGTCAGTATGGAAAGCATCATCCTATTCAGACCACTTGGGGAATTTGTGATGATTGCTCTTGAGTGGTAATGATTTTAGGACATGACTGGTATCAGAAGATAGGGCTCAGAAGGCTAGAATAGCTCAGAAGAGTTCCACACAACAACAGGGAAATAGCTCCATGTCTTGCAAACTTTTGAATGTCTTGTACATATAGATAGGTGGAAATTTGTTTATAATTACTGCAGTAAAAGCTAACTCCATCTTTATAATTATATAAAGCAAAGCAGCTTGTCTGATGGATTTTGAAGGTAAATTGAGGGAAGAAAATATGTTATTGCTTAAAAATTTTATGACAACTTGTTCTTTGTTTTGGGTATGCATACCATTATTTGCAATGCCCTTCACAGTCTTTGACTCCCCAATATAGCCCCTCTGTATCAGTCTATATTACTTTTGCATATATTGTATATTACATTCCATTTTATATTTTACATGTGGTGAATCTAGATTGGATGCAAATGTCTGTCAAGTTACTATTTCTCCTTCTGTAATACTACCAGAATATTTACACAGTAAAATACTTAGTATATCATTATTCATTACTCTCTTGTTGCTTCCCATTTTGTTACTGCTAAGACAGTACATTTTAAAAAAATTTAGATGTAGATTTCATTATTTATCATTTTCATTTAAGTTTTGTAAAAGGGGAAAAATATCTTCTATAAAATAGGATACTAGGTCTGCTAAAGTCAAGAACTGACAACTAAGCCTAACCAGCTAACTACCCAAAGGAGTTGGTAGTTGCAAAGAAGGCCATTAGGACTACATAAGGGAGTATATTCTGTTGTATGTTTGTTCTGTTAACTGGAGGTGAACCATAGAATGGGATTAGAATCCGATATTTCGTTGTTGAACAATATGTAGTGGTTTGTGGGCGTTAAAAATATATTCAGTCAAGAAAAATGCTAGAGAATATGAGTGGAACAAATGTGTCACATGATTCCAGATACCTAGAAAGGACACTAAAGAGAAGAGGATTATGCAACTTTATTTATCTCTCTTTTGGGCAAAATCACATTTTATTTACTATCAGTTAAATCATTTTAAATAACACACATTTGCCTTTGAGTCATCTCTAGTTCTCAGAACTGGTACAATGTGTAATTAGAGTTAATTCTTGGCATGGTTCCTAGGCTGTTTGAAAATACATTTTGAGGAGCCAAATTTTTGGACTGGTGTTGATTACAATGTGAACAATTAACTGTGCTGAATAGCATAAATAAACCTGTCTTCAATAAATCACACAGCTTGGAGACTCTGCCTAGTGCAAGTTGGAAGTTGCAACTAGATAAAGCCAAGACTTCTGCTCTCAAAGGAAAGAAATTTAGATTTGAAGGATACAGAGGTTAAGACATGGGTTCTAGAATCATCTTTCTATTTCAAATTCCAGCTTAGCCACCAACTGCTGTGTGATTTAAGCAAGTCTCTTAATCATTATTTGTGCTCATTTTCTCAACTATATAATTTGGCTGATGGTAATAACAGTATCTACCTATGAGATTGTTATGAAGAGAAACTTATTTGTTCATATATAGTGCTCAGAATAGTGTATGGAATTTAGTGAATGTCATGTGAATTTGTTAACTAAGTTAAATTGACTAATTACTTGAATCAAATAGAAATACTAAAGGAGTGATTCCCAAATTTCTATAAAGGAAGACATATTTTGTCCCAAGACGTAGAATAAATGCAATGCAACACTAAGCTTTTTCAAATTGTAAAGGCTTTTTTGTGTTGACTGGGATGAACACAGGAAGACCTCCTCCTCCGTCACACACCAGCAATCACATCACAGGGCAGTGGCTATACAGTACTGACATAACATACACAGAAATAGGAAATATATACTATAAAATGGCAAGGGAAGTCAGAGAGTTGCAAGTTGCTCCAGCAAAAAAATAAAAAAGAATTTGCTTATTTTCTCCCACTAGTCAAGGATAATCTGTCAGAAAGAGGGGGATTCTTGTTTGATTTATTTAGCAAAATTTATGGAGGCCTATTGCATGTGAACTGTGTATAAGGCAACTGAGTAAAAAGTTGGGGTTAAAAGATTCTTGCCCTCAAAGGAATATACAGTCTTGTTGATGAAAATCACAGACAAATGGAAGAGAACAGGGAAGCAGCATGGAATTATGGGAGGCAAGTTGGGTGGTGGAGCCATCATAGATCTTTTACCCTGGTTGCCAGGGAGGCTGGTGCCAGCAGCGCATAGAACAGCAGGGGGAATGAGGTGCATGGGAGTGGTGATCCATGGGGGTCCTTACAGGAACAGACAGCAGGACCCCAAAGGATCGAAAGCACTTTAGCACTTAGTCACCTGAGACCAAACGAAAAAAAAGGAAAGGCCTCTGTTTTTTTAAGCATTCACTATATTTATTTATTGATTAATTTATTATATCATTAATTTTTGTGCTGTATTTAATTTGTTCCCTTAGGTGTTGCCTCTGCAGTTGTCTCATTGCCATAGCACCCATGATCCATCACCATATTCCCTTGTACTCTTCCCTCCCGTTTTGAGCCCTCTCCCCTTTCATGTGAGCTCTTGACTGAAAATACAAGACAACTCAACTGATCTCACTAAAAAGAGACCCATGGCCGAATCACAGATCTTAGGCTTAAATGGAAATCGTCTTGGAGATACCTAAAAACAGGGTCTCACGGCTAGAACTGCTCTCTTTCATGCTCTAGGCTTCCTTCTCTCAAGATGGTGAGCACACGTGGTGAAACTTGGCCTCCCGCAGCTCCAGCACAGACCTTTATTGACCAGATCACAGAGCAGACATCTCCCTCCTCGATAGGAAAAAATAATCGGTGGAAGAACTGTGTGACTTCCTGTGTCAGGAGTGACTGGCTCAGTCTCTGGGTTCAGAAAGACAGCGCCATCTAAGCTGATGAGAACTCCCTCTTGGGTTTAGGATTAGAAGCATGAGGGAGTGACTAGCAGAGAAAGCCATTTTCACCACAGTTGCTATCTGCTCCTAGTGGCGAGTGCTGCTCCCATCAGGAATGCATGGCATTATTATTGAATAGAATGTACCCCTATTAATTTTGTGGAGCATACAAGACCACAGAGAGGTCCAAGGAAAACATCAGGCCAGATGTGGGGCAGGGGAGTGAGCCCGAGAGCTGGAAGGAAAACTCAGTCTCTTTACTCCATCTTAGACATGTGGCCTGATAGATTCTCTCCCTGCATCGGGCCACTCAGGCACATTTTATTTTAGGGAAATTAGCAGGATCAGAAATCAGAATAGAGCTTGTTTGTTTGTTCATATCTTCCTTCCTGCTAACAAATCAAGACCCTGAAGATTGTCTGTGCTCCTGCATGGGCAACTACAGATGGCCTCAATTCAGGGTATCACAGGCCAGCGTGGGAACCATCCAAGATCCACTGCCTCGGGCAGAAACATAATCTGTGCCACGGAGGAGCCCTGTTGTAATGGAACACAGCTGCCAGTAGGACACATATGCAAATTGTGTGCCCTCAGAACTATTAGTCATCTTTCATTGCCCTTTTTTTCTCTCCCATCTCACACAATATCGAAGGTTATGCAATCTTCCCTAAGAACTGGCAATTTCTAAGCTCTCAGCTTCTCGCCTCAATCCATTCTTTATTTCCCCAGTCAGCTTCCCAAATCAGTTCTTGTAATTTTTTTCCCCCTTTAAGCTCAGTGCTGGGGTGGACCAGAAGTCAGTTGTGGCTGTGGCTTGATTTGACTGGTTGCTTGGGCACTTCCTCCCTCTGAAAGCTAGACCTAACTGAGAGAATGTATGAAACCCTGCATGGCCAGCTGGGCTGGACAGTCCCTCCATACTGGCTCACCCAAGGCAGAAGGAGCCACGTCTGCTCTAGACAAAAGTATTGCAAGTACTGCTTTTGGAGTAAGTACAAGTCCAGTTTTCACATTAACTGGGACACAATAAACTGAAC